TCGCTTTATTCTGCATGTCTGCATTTGTTTCGCCATTTTCTTCCAGGCATTTCGATAAACCATCAAGCACAAAAACGTTTTCAATCGCAAAAGACCAATCATCATAGTTCTCGCGACCCATTAATTTTGGCACACTGGCTAAATAATTCGTAGCCGCCATTTTCAGTCCACAAAACAAACTGCGAATTTCACTCGACCCTACGTGACTACGTTACCAAAGAAACTCACAACTGATACCTTCAGGTTATAGAACTTTAAAACTGAATGCTGGGTCCATAACCTCTTGAAAATTATAGTGGAAGTGAGGATTTTCTGGGGTACATTGAAATAATAAACGCCATGTTTTGTTCGATAGCAACGACTTCTTCTTTATTTTAATAAGCAATATTGGCAACACGCCATACATCAAGTGTTTACAAAGTACATAGAAAGATGGCGCTACATGTATTGAAATACCTTTTTTGATATATCACAACAAAAATAATACTTATTACTCATATAAAATTAACTACTGATAAGTATTTATGCATTAATTACATTACCGCAGAGATAAACCGCAGAATTTGCACGGCTAATAGATGCTATTTTGGGCTTAATCTCCTTTTTAAATCTACAGCTGCATTAAGAAATACAAAAGTGAAACTCTACAAAACAATTATACGCCCAGTCCTAATATATGGTTCAGAAACCTGGACTTTAACAAAAAGCAATAAAAACATGTTACGATGTTTCGAAAGAAAAAGACTGAGGCGAATCTATGGAGCGGTAAATGAAAATGGTGTCTGGAGAAGACGATACAACTTCGAACTCTATAGAATATACCAGGAACCAGATATCGTAAAACACATTAAGATAGGACGTCTGAGGTGGGTAGGCCATGTAATGCGGATGGAGCAAACCGACCCAGCTAGAAAAACGCTCCTTAATAGACCCATTGGTCAAAGAAGAAGAGGAAGACCCAGAACAAGATTCCTAGATAACATAGACCAAGATATGAGAAATACGGAAATACGTGCTTGGCGGAGGAAGGCGATGGATAGGGACGACTGGAAAAGAATTCTTGGGGAGGCTAGGACCCACACAGGGTTGTAAAGCCTAAATGATGATGATGATAAGTATTTATGAAGAATTCTAGAATTATAAATACATGGTTGAATGTGCATTGCGCTCGCTCATCTTCTTAAAGTGGAAACTGCAGGAAGAGGGTAGCATCTTTTTCTCAATAAACGATAGGACCTTGGACCCTGCTGCATGCAGTGAAATAGTCGAAGCAATATCTTCAACTTTCCACTTTACTTGCTTGGCCAACTTTAATTTACAAAGTTGCCCTTCTGTAAATATTTTTTCAATTTTATTCTTTTCTTCCCTTTCTTTGTGAAGTAATAATGTATTCAGCTGGATCATTTTCACTAAAATGAAAAATTGTTTAAATACATATAATATTTTATAATTCCATTTACTACCTTAACGTTTGAGTGGAAACAGTTCTGTTTATTTTAGGAATGTTCTCTTTGTCTCCTTCATTGCCATTGTCGCATTGTATATGTACTTCCGATTGTGTTTCTACATCGAGTGATGGACCCATCAACTTCAAGAACTCCCTATTCTGCCTTTTTTCTACTCGTAAACATCGTTTTTGTTCAATAGAAGTCTGCGCTCTTGGTAATATCATTAAATAACGGGAAGGTATTGCATCACGTTTTAATTTCCACTTATTCTGAGGCAAACCCAACATTTTTTCTTTCATACAGAAATCGCTTTCCACAAAATGTTTCGAACATATTCTTGCAGTGTTTATATTAAACTTATGTTGCTGATAGCACTTCACGACCCATTGTTCGCGAACTTGTTTCTCTTTTGGAAATCAAAAGAAACGACAATCCGAAATAACTTTGCTTTTTTATTGTTGTTGCTGGAACAACCCACCATTGCACAGAATACCATAATTAAAAGTTTAATTTAATATTCTTAAATATATTTTATTTAAAAGTGCACACATTTATTTGTCAACGTACAAGATAAACGATAAAACAATTTAAATCTGACAAAACTTCATACAACACAAAACATTTCTGGTTACATTTGTCACCAAGTGACGTTACACGACTGATCGCGTGCGCGTGGGTTTATCTTTAGTTCATAGTATCATGCCTTTTATGAATGCGGCCGATATTTAGATGTATGGACAGCGGCGTCGGTGGCTGGTGCACCAGCCAGGGTAGGTTGGATGCACAGTTGATGATGGTACGGATCTTGGCTGGTTTTGAGACTCTCGTGATGACGAGTTGGTGTAGAGTGGTCGTACCATCGAGTTAGAATCTAACTCGATGGGTTGTACATACGGAAGACATGCGTATGTACGAAAGTCGACTAGGGTGGTTCCTTTGTTCTTAGGACCTCCGTGCATAGCAATGAATTAAGCTTAAAATGTCATTTTAAACTTTCTACACAAAAGACGGGTACGTTTCCTTAAGGAATCTGTAGTGTTTTGGGTTGATAGTTTCCCAAAAACATGTTTTTCGGACAAGTGAATTCTCAGAACTTTACAATAATGAATCAGAAAATTTGTGTGCGAGAATTTAAAAGACGTGGAATTAAAGCCATATTATAATTAGCTAATATATTATAATTAAATAAATAAAGATTTAAAACTAAATAAGGTCATATTCTGAATATTAAAAATAAAATATTTAAATAAGTCTTGAACACTTTTCCGAACACACATTTCTGAACCCATTATAGAAAATGTTTGTACCGGCATCACTTCAGAACGACTGCAACAAATTAGGTAATTCTTTTTTGTTGTATTTGTTATTGTCAGGAGAAGGTTTGTCATTTATAAAATAGTTTTTCTGTCATTTGAAATCGCAATATGACTAATAGATGGCGCCATATTATAACTAACAAAAAAGCTATGATCAGCGAACTACGAACATAGTTCGTTAGTTCTCTGCTATGATTAACAAAATAAACAGACAGTTATTGAAGACGTATTTTATGTCATCAAATTCATTTGTTCTGTCTTTTATTTTTTTGTATTTTCGTTTATTATCAAGACATAATTTTTTTATGTAGCTTAATTCGCTGTGGGCCGATGAGTAGAGGGGATTTGACAGTTTTCACCAACGCTGTTAGTGGCAGTTTTGTGCATTTAACTTGTAGACATTCAAATAATGGCGAATACGGATTTTTCAAAAAGAAAAAAAAATGATACATGTCAAAATATTGGGTATAACAGTCATTGTAAATTTTATTCATTTCCTTTGCCAAGCATAAAATAGTTCAAAGAGAAAAATGGATTATTGCTATCAATAAGAAAAACAAGTAAATAACCTATAATACAAACATGATATTTGTATGGTGTAAAATAAAAAAGCTATTATATTCCGAAACATTGCCTACATGCCCTGCATCAACCAAATCTTTCCCCTTTTTTGGTGTAGCTGGTTGAAATGGGATATCATGTGATATAGACTTTAAACCAGTATAATGTTTAATATCCATTTTGATAAAATTAAAACAAATTGATATCTATGCACTAAGGCTTACGCACACAAAAAATAACTGAGCAAAAACAGAATAAAAATGCAAAATAAAAACAAGAATTACAACGTTACAGAGGTAAAGGTAACCTTTAACCAAAGAATAGCGTCTATATTCTTTGCTTTAACCACAGAATACTAACCCAACTTAGTATTCTGTGCTTTGACCATTAAATATTTTCACATAAACTTCTTCTTTTTCTCAATGGCCTCTTGCGTAAGTAGTCATCTAGTCGCAGGAACTTATATCTTAAATATTATAATTATAATGAATAAAATAACAAGGCGTAATTACTTTTACTATTAATTCTGTGTATTCGTTCATTAATCAGTTTACCATAATATTTTAGTTCATTAGTTTGTATTTTTAGATAAATATCAATTTTTCTCGTTTTGTCATATTTCACTTACACTGATTTTACAAGAAAAGTACAAGTTTCAAACCGCTAGAGAGCGCTACCGACGAAACTCACAGCGAATATATCTTTCAAAGAAAATTTATAACGCACATATTTGACAGTAAATATGAAATGTCATTTTCTTTGTGACTTTATGAAAGAGAACAACAGTTACAAAGAGAACAACACTTCAACACTGAAGGATTTGACGAAATAGTTCATACAAATTATTTACTATTGAAACAACAACAAATGATTACATACAATATTTTGATAGAAACTGTGAACATTGGATCTGGTGGAGTTTACTTTCTTCATGTTGAGGATGGACAGAAAAACATAACTAATTTTATTATTAGGATCAGATCGCAGTAGCATGCTTAGCTGGCTTCATCTGGAATATCTGCAATAGGATGACGCACGAATTGCAAATTTTGCTTTGAAATTACCATTAAACGTACACATTAATGAAACACCAGATTGCAACATCACCGGAAATACAGCATTGACGAAGATTTTACAGGTATACAAATTAATCTTTTGGGATTCATGTGCATAGGCCAACAAGAGGTTATTACAGGCACTGGACAGAACTTTGAAATATATCCGTGATAATCAAAAATATTTTTGGTGGAGTCATGATTCTATTGTCAGACTATCGCGTACCTAACATCATCCAATTGCGTCGACATGTAAAGACGCTCTAAATAACATGCGAGTGGTTTTGTAACAAGAAAGGACAATTGTGTTTTCGAAGTAGTTGTTCGATATTGGAAATGGTAAAGTTGTTATTGACACCTTGACCGGATTTATTTCATTACTCATGGATATTTGTTACTTAACACACTCGAAAGAAGAGTTTTTGAACTTTGATGCCTTATTTAGTTTTGAGGCGGGTCGACTAGTATATTATAATTTCATGTTTCTTTGCTCACACTTTAATGTTAATGATGGGTATCAGATTGTGTTTTACATATTATTGTTTATTTAAACTTTGTAGCTCTGGCAGTTTGCGCCTAAGCACTTTTTGCAAATAGAAATTGAAAATTGTCTTTTTTAGGTTGGAATTAAAAGTGATGAAATTGATATATTTGTTTTTGACACATGCTTAGCAAATAATGCTTATCCCTCTCCTTTAAATTATAACCATTTTCCAAAATCTGTGTGCACATCAATCAATAATGTAGCTTGCCATGGAATTCCAGATGACAGACCACTAGAAGATGGGGATATTATTAATGTTGACATAACAGTAAGTACAAATTGAATTGATAATTTTTATTTTATTTGTTTTTGGTGTGCAATTTATAACTTGAATTTAAATAATATCTGTAATGAAACGACTATAAACTGCATACAAATAAATACAAAGGATTCAAATCAATTTTTAAATATTAAATTAAGGAATAAACAATAATAAACACCAGTTCTAAAAGGTTTTAATTTCTTAAAATTTCATCCGAAATATATAACGTAAATATCTTTGTGTGATACGGGTACTTAAAATTCAATTAGGAGACATATTAATAATAACTTAGTATCCACTATATATTGGAATTCTTAATTGTAATTGCACTTTGTGCTACAAGTATTTTACATCTACTGATATTAATAACAAAAACGAAAAATCTTTTATTTCAGGTAGTTTGTACTCCAGAGAGATATGTGTATATAACTAGATTAGGCCCTAATAGCACATGTACGTCCAGTGGACGTCCATAGTACGTCCCTCACGGACTTTAGGGACGTCCCTCGAACGTCCGCTTTGGTCCTATTTACGTCCGTTTTACGTCCTATATTGGTCCGAATGTCGCTGCGCCAAACGTCCTATGGACGTACCGGGACGTTAATTGGACCTTAATCGGACGTCCATAATACGTCCAGAGGACTTACTTGACGGACTTTTGTGATGTTCTCGGACATCTATTTTAGCGCTGAGGATGTAAATTAGACGTCAACGCCATTGTATAAAGTACTAAAAGTGGTGTCATCCTGTGCATTATAAGAATGTATTTTGGGAAATAAAACGTAAATGTTTAAAGAAACTTACATTTATTATTACATTTATTTATTATTAACAAACGGGACAAATCCACTGTCAAAATTATGCAAAAATGCAACATTATATAAATATAAAATAATTTTGTGTAATAAAACACAAATGTTTAAAGGAACTAATATTTATTATTACATATATTTATTTATTAATAACAAATGGAACAAATTCACTGTCAAAATTATACAAAAATGCAACATTATAGAAATATAGACAAAATTACAGATAAAATAAAATATACATGAAGAAAATAAATAAGTACACATTTATAATAAGTTTCATTTAGCATTTAAGTGCTTCAAATAGTACCTAAAGCTATTGATATAAAAGTTTTAAACTTTGAAAAATAAGGCTATTATCGAGCACACGTTAATTAAATCTAGCCCAAGTACTTTCGCTTAAAATAGCAAATATTCCCTCCAGATACTGACAAAAAATGTAGCGTAGAATCTTTTAAGTAATTTTAAACTGTCCTCGTTTTAGTGTAGTGTTTTGTACAATTTTATGTCATTATTAATGTTTCCACATTCTACGCTTGCCGGATAGTTTACATTTAACGAAATGCCCCTGAAGATGCTATTTTAAGCGAAAGTACTTGGGCTAGATTTAATTAACTTGTGCTCGATAATAGCCTTATTTTTCAAAGTTCATTTATTCGAGCATTCAACCTCATTTCAATTAAAATAAAAGTTTTAGACCATCTCTATGTGTGAAACATAATTAGTTCTGCGGTAAGGAACATGGAAATGTAAATTCTGACACAGTGAATGGGAAGGAATATGAAAACAAACTAGCTGAAGCAATTCAGTAGATTGGTTATTTTATAAACAAGTTGAAAAATAATATATTAATTATTAAATAATATTATTAAATGATAAAGATTAAAAAGTAACACTTTTAATAAGAGAATCCAGATTCAAGAAATTGATCATATCAGAATAAGAATATGGTCTACACAATTTACAAGAACAGTTGATGCTTGTAAATAAGTCAGTATAAATCTAATCAACATAAAAATAGTTTTTAATGCAATTATAATATAAGCAGTGTAAATTAGTAGAAGTTGAACGACTAGACAGTAAGTAAACCACCCTGACCAGTATGAAGCTGATTCTTCAAATTTACTGTCAAAAAATCAGTCAGTAAAGCCTCGACAATTTTAGGAATAGCAGAAAGAATTATAATGGAACGATAATTAAGAATCAATGAGTTAAGGATAAAATCAATAAATAAATTGTGATGAAAAGTTACCCTCAGTGAGAGATTTATAAAAAATAAGCCATAGATGCCTACATAAAAAGAATGCACAATTCCTTAAAAATAAGTTAAGATATTATGTCTGGACCAAGACCTTTATTGGTATTAAGACACTGTAAGCATGCATCACTAATTTTAATAGTTAAAAGAGTGAATACGGCTGTGACTGATATGGGATCTTTGAATACACTTGTCTACACAAGAGAAAGAAGGATTGTGAATACTGCTAAAGAAATAGACAAAATTGTGGAAATTGTGGTTCTTAAAAACAGAACCATTCAACTTCCCTTATCGCTTCCCATTCTGATTTCCCTTACAATTGTGTGGTCAGCAATTAAAAGCAGACAAGTCAATTGTTGAGTTTTAAAGTTGAAATCATAAGTATGAAAAAGATCAATACCTAATATAGAACTTTGTCTGTTTTCTTTCAACAGTAGATTAATTTTTAGGTATTTATTCTTAATATATAAAACAGTCTCAAAAATTGGACTGTTCCTTTCTGTCCATGAACTACACAATTTAATCATTACAAAATTAATCATATTTGCTAATGCAACATGCAAGTTAAATTTTATCTGCCCTCTCTGTAAATATTTCCTCAGATATTTCATTATCAAGTTTCAACTTCCTTCCCCATGGCAACGCTGTTTTTGGAGTTTTTCCAAGCAACATCTGAAAACAAAATTAATGTACATTCATAAAATAAACAAACTAATTTCAGATTTAGTTCATTATACTTTGCTTCTTGTGAATAAACCATAATTCAAAGTAAAATTAAACACACGAATTTCAAGTGCTGTAGTTTTAATGAATCTCACCTGAATTAGAAGAATACCAACCCAACCATTGGTATTTATTTCTAATGATCAAATGAGCAGTAATTATACTTTGATACTTAAAAAACAGAAATAACAGTGTATAAATAAAATATATACAGCCAACAACAAACCTTCATCTCATATAGCTAAGTGTAGTTCATAAAGCAATCTCATAGCTAGACCTGAACATTTATGAGTTGGTAAAATTTACCATCTAAATTACATATAAGACACAGTTAACAATATGCTTCATCGGCTGTATGTGGCCACTTAAGTGATAGTGTAAATTCTTAAATGTACCTTAAATTGATTTATGTTTACAAGTTACAAACCTTTTAAAATCAGAACTATATGTGTGTCCTCAAAAGCTTTTCCCTATCCAACTATCTTTTCCTTGAATTTTATTCTATTTATCTAACTACCCCACAAACTTGATCATCCATGCTTAATTATTTTAGCTTAAACTATCTAATAAAAAACAGCCTCTGTTACAAAATCAATCAAACATTCATTTGCAAATTTTGGTTTCTCATAACCATGGTAAATGCCTATTAAATCTACAATTTTAGGATATATAAACAAATTACACAAGATAGGATAATACTGACTACTAAAACTCTTTTTTTAGTGGGATTCCATCAAAATGTACACAAATTTCTATAACATTGTTTTTTTTATGAAGATAAAAATACCATTGAAATTTGAATCATATGGATCAGAGTATTTGTTCTCTGGGTGAAGCGAAGCAAGAAGGGTTCTAGCATTTGAACTCAAATTGGAAAGGTCAGGAACTTCTTTATGAATTTTTAATAAATCATCTACATAAGGGATTGGACAAACCTCGATGCCCATGCACTTTTTAGAGCCACACAAGGTCGAAAGTGGTATGCCAGAATTGTCGCCAACATCCACTAATTGGATAGGGCACCATAAGAAGAAGAATAAATCACCTAGTATTAAAGGACAAAGTCCAGTTGAATAACTTATTAGAAAAATTAAAAATATCTCGATAAGGTTCTCCAGAATTCTCATTACAACCATGTTTAGACCCTTCTTCAGTTTCATTGAAAGAAGAGCTTTGTAAAGGATCACCGGAATGGCCGTCCACGTGGTAATTTGGATTATTTTAGGTACTTAACATGTTAATAAAAAGTTTAAATCGGAAGTATTGTAACCTGAACTATTTGAACTGAAACTCTCATCAAAATGATCAGTTAGGGATTCCGAATAAAGGTTTGAAGGAGATAGAATATCGAGGTTATTCATATTTTCAACAATATTCTCTACGTTTTTCGTAACCTTCCTCTGTTGATGACGCTTAGAAACAAATCGTTTTCTTAAACATAAGTAAAAATTACACTTACCTTTAAAATAAAACGAATTTCTGAAGTATAACCTAACACGTGGTACCAAACCTTTAACAATATACTATAACCACAAAGCCAAGCATCAAAAAACAAATGCACTGTATACTGCTTAAATAGAATTCTTTAATTTGGTTTATTAAAGCATTAATAATATAAATATAATTAAACTGTGCCATTTGTTTAAATATAGGTATGATATGACAGACAATGACAACATCATCAACATTATTTTGTTCAGCCAGAGTATATACTACCACTACCACTTGTTCATCTTGGAAAAATGATTTCAAGTTCATCTTGTTGATAAAAATCATATTTTTACTTATTAGAATTAGCAAACATATATCATCGTGATAAGTAGAATAATAAAACAATTGTAACGAATTATCTAGAAATAAAATATTTTTACACTTTACCTTAAAAAAAAAACATGTTTTGGATATATTAAACTATAAAATTTTTAATTAATCATGATTTAACCCTTTCGCTTTTAATTATTTTATTAACGTAAATAATTTTTTATTTTATTGAAATATTTGCTATTTGATCCCATAATTGGTAAATGTCGGATGTCCAGAAAACATCCGAGTTCGGTCAGACGTCCAGGGAACGTCCGAGTATGGACGTGCAGGGAACGTCCGAGTACGGACGTCCAGAGAACGTCCATATTTAGTCCACCCAAAGTACGTCCCACTTCGTACGTCCATAGTACGTCCCACTTCGTACGTCCATAGTACGTCCATTTTACGTCCAG